TGTTTAATATGTGACTTATGTAGTTAAGAATGGCCTGGCATTAGCTTAATTAAAACACGAGTCAATATATCTAAAGGCTAAGGGTGCAGGCTGGCGGGGACCGTCAGCACCAAGCCGCGGTCAGCTCCGGGCCGACTCGTCCCCGCCCTGCAGGCGAACTCCCTTCTCATTGGCTGCTGCCCGGCCGCCTCGGGCGCCTATTGGCCGGCTAAGACTCCCGCTTCCTATAAGAGGCGTACAGTGCCGTGCCGCAGTCAGTCCCAGCTTAATCATCAGCAGCTTCACAGGTGAGTGGGGTGGCTCCTTCCCGCTGGGATCAGGGACCACCGTCGTCGAGGATTTGGGGGCGCTGGGCCAGTGCACAGAGGCAGGGTCACTCTCTCAGGAAGTAACCAGCTGTGGAGATCTGGATCTGGGGAGTCGAAATTGTACCCCTGTGGTGACTCTTCTTTTCTCCTACCCTTTTTGGGAAGAAAAGACACAGTTTTTGAAGGCTTGCTGTGTGCCAACAACAGGCTCTTTACACATCATCTGATTTCACCTTCACGACAAAATCTGTGAGGTGGGTGCTTCTTATATTTTTGCATTTCTTGGAAAGTTCAGAGTTGAACTCAAATCTGTATAACTCCTTTGTGTTAGCAAGAAACAAATGCATTCTTCTTCCTTTCCTTCCTCTTGACCAAATGGCAGCACCTCTTTTTTCCTTCTCCCATGAAGGGAACCTTCCCTTAGATATCTCCAAAGAAAAGGACTTTTCAGTTGCCAAGCCTCTCAGCATCACATCTACCTTCATCACCAGCACCCTAACACAGTACAAGGTTACAATTGACAAACAGTGCTAGTAGTCCACATCCACTATGTAAGCTTAAACTTGCCTCTGACTGTTTGGTTTCAGTGGGTTAAAATTAATTCCCCACTGATGTTCTACTCTAGTTGGTTTGGGTGAAAAAAATGGAGTTCTAGTTCTAATCCATCCAGTAAAAGTTTGTACCCATCAATTAATTCTCAAAGAAGGATGGAATTCATTTATTTGCTTTAAAAGTAGATGTGAACACAGCTTAAAGTAACTAGAAGTGTTCCTGTAAAGGCATAATGTGTGGTTTATGAATTTCAGCACTGGAGTTTACTTGTATATATGTTGTTATCATATTAGCTTATCTTTAGGTAGGGATATGTCTTCTATTTCCATTTTCCTTGCCAGTGCCTTTATTTCCTAGGAAATTTTTTTTAACTTTTTAAAAGATTATTTATTTATTTATTTGACAGACAGAGATCACAAGTAGGCAGAGAGGCAGGCAGAGAGAGGGGAGGAAGCAGGCTCCCTGCTGAGCAGAGAGCTGGAAGCGGGGCTCGATCCCAGGACATTGGGATCATAACCTGAGCTGAAGGAAGAGGCTTTAACCCACTGAGCCACCCAGGCGCCCAGAAAATGTTTTTCATGGGCACTGTTTTCTCTTTTATTTCATCTCTACTTTCATTATTATTCCTTTCCCCAAGTCAAAAAAGAAAAGTAAGATTCTCTCCCTCCGCATCAGTCCTTTGCATAGCTTTTAGTTCTGTCTTCAAACAGCATCTGTGATTTCAAAATATTTTAATTTGGTAGTGCTTTGTGCTTCTTAGAACAGATACATTTAAATTATACCTGTTACTGATTAAACTGAACGGAGAAAAGAATTAGTCGATTTAAGCACCTTGACCTCTACTTTTCAAGGGGCTGTTGATCTTCTGACTCCTTTTTGATATGTCTTCCTTATTTCCCATGGTATATCCGGAACACCAGTGCATCTTTAGTCCGGCCAGGAGATGAAGCAGAACAACTCCCTGCCTTTTATGGGAGAGGGGAAAATACCAGTTGGCATTGGCTCATTAGAGTTTTTTTTTTTTTTTTAAATAAAATATATACCTTTTTTTTTGTATTTTTTTTTTTTTTTGATGAGACATGGGTTTAAACAGGAGTGATGCATTGGACACTGTATAGCTTTTTATCTTACCAGGCTGTGCTATGGTTTTTGCCCCTGAAGAAGTAGAGGGGGTAGATATGCTGAGGGGAGAAAGGAAACAAAGTGACAAGAGAAAATGTTGAGGTTCTGAAAAGGGTTTGGGGGGTAGTTGAATAAAGGGAAAAAAGGACTGATGCCTCATAAGCTCAACCAAAGTTATGCTCTTAGATCAGAGCCCTATATTCTGTAAACTTATTTTGGGGGTTTGGGCAGTGGGTGGAGGGTGGGGATAGGGGAGTAGATGAGAATTGTTTTCTTCTAGATTTTTATTTTATTTTTATTTTTATTTAATTATTATTATTATTATTTTTTTACCAAAAGTTCCTTTTGAGAAACTTTAAGGATAGGAATGTTTCTAAATTTCAATATAAAATGCTTTGTGCATAATAAATATTCTGTTAAGGTATCCTTCACCTTTCTCTCCTCTACCCATTAAAAAGAAGTTGGTGGCAAAACTAGATCTATTCCAGAACCAGGGAAAGAAGAGAGATTTTTGAAATCCAAAAGGATGGAGTGAGGCCAGCCATGACTGTTACTACCTTTTTAAAATGGCTCCAGGGGAGCTTAAGGGCTAATTTTGAAATGTGAGAGGAAATCTTTATATAGTTTTATACAAGAGTTGCATTCTAAACTCTGAAAGATCACTGAAGGATGAACTGTCAGGAGATCTGAAATTTTGTCAAGTTTTCTCACTGACTGGCAAAAATCACCTTTCTCTACTGTTCTCTGGTCCTTGCTCCCAGTTGTTAAAATTTGCTTTCATTATGAACATGATGGTGTATTAGGAAGTAACTTATATTTGCAGAATCCTTTTTCTTCAGCATGTTATGGGGACAATATCAAGGAAAATGGGGACTTAGTAAATATGGATTGACTAGAGTCTTCATCTACTTACAAATGTGTTGCTGAATCATTCACTTGAAATTTGAAACTTAATATATTTTAGGAGTTTCATATAAATACACTAATGAAACTGAAAATCACCTTAAGACAAAAGAATACTTATGTTTCATGTCATAAAACAACCTTTACCATCTTGTGACATGCTTAATTCCCCGGGCAAGAAAATTCTTAGCTAGAGGAGTTTAGAATGTCATTTTTTTTTTTTAAAGATTTTATTTATTTATTTGTTAGAGAGAGAGAGCATGAGCACAGTCAGACAGAGTGGTAGGCAGAGGCAGAGGGAGAAGCAGGCTCCCCGCTGAGCAAGGAGCCCAATGTGGGACTCTATCCCAGGACGCTGGGATCATGACCTGAGCCGAAGGCAGCCGCTTAACCAACTGAGCCACCCAGGCGTCCCTAGAATGTCATTTTTATTATATTTAATATTTTAACTTTTTTTGAAGACCAGGAAATTTGGGATGCACTTCCCATTATTAGAGCTAGTATTAACTGAGTACTTTGTGTAGGTCAGCAACTGTTCTAATTGTTTTATACACATTAAATATATATATAAGTAAATCCTCCTTATAACCATGAGACTGATGTCAGTTATCTTCCCTCCAATTTTACAAATAAGGAAACTTATACACATAGAAATTAGAACTTGTCCAGGTGAATTTGTAGATGAATTTGTTACTAGCAATTTGCCATATGATATTATGTCTCTTACTGTTTGCATTTATATATGAGAGGACAAAATTACCCATACTCTGTGTGGAAAAAAAAAAAAAGCCTACGACCTTTCAGTGATAGTTAGATAAGAAATGTCTCGAAAGGTTTTCACATTTCTAAATGTATTTTGAGAATGCATCCCTGAATTTTTAGCCCCAGAGCTACCAGTTCAGAATTTCCTGTATATACTTTAAGTTTACCAAAGGTACAGTTTCTTTGCAGCTGGAAGTCTCTTTTAAGACCTCTTGTTTCTCATTCATAAATCCTTTCTGATCAGACTTATGGATGGGCCAGAAGCCATCTCTGTTTATCTTTAGGATATTTGTCACAGGGTGGGAAGGTGGGGGTTGAGGAAGGTGGTGTGCCCCTCAGATATCATAGCTGGGATCTCAGGGTCTTATTCTCTTCTGCTTATTTGTGCTTATTGGGAAATCTGTCTCTCTTCCCCCTCCCTCGTTACATAAGTCTGAATCCATTGCGGGCAAATTGTCTTCTTTGTTTTTTATTCCTTACTGCTTTAACACTGAGTATGATATTTTAGACACATGAATGTGCTTGGGTTGAAATTTCATTTATTTTACCATTAGTAAACAGTTGAATCACAGAAAAATCCAGACTATTATTAAGTTTAACCAGATTTTTGGTTTTAAAGCATTTGGCATAGAGATTGTTTTAGTTATAGAGAATAAATTGACACAACTAAAAATATTTAAGCAGTTTTTATTTAAAACTCAATGAATCAAAAAGTAAACTTTGAATTATATATCCCAGTCTTTTCTTGGTGCCTTAAATAGCTAAAGGACCTTGTGGTCCCCCCCCCGTGTCCCGAGCTGCCAGGCTCTTGAATTTACAAAAGAAATAGAAGGACTTAAAAAAAAAAAAGAAATAGAAGGACTTGTCTCTGTTCTGAAGGGCTTGCTGTCTTGTTGAAAGACAAGACATGCATGAATAAAACACTAGAGACCCAATATAATAAAGTGCTGAAATTGTCGGGGGAGAGGAGGTAGTCTTTCATAGTGGAAGAGTGCCCAGTTCAGGCCACAGTCGGAGGACTGCAGGAAGCCAGTGGGCATGAATTACACCCTGAAGGGACTGGATTAGAAAAAAAGAAAAAGGAAACTAGCAACATGCATTGTATGCTCATTATATCCTAAGAACTATGTTAGGCCATATTTTATCTTACATTGGTCTCATTATAGTCTTACGAAGGGTATCTACAAATCCATGTTTCACAAGTAAGGAAACCAGAACTTGGGTAATATTATCAAGTATTGTCTTACTGGTTTCAAATATTATCAAATATAGTCTATATTGCACAACTTCTTTTTTTTAGAGCTCTCTTTCTGTTTTCATACCTCGTTTTTAGAGAACTACACCAAATTCACCATGATTGAAGACAATAAGGAAAATAAAGATCATTCCTTAGAAAGAGGGAGAGCAACCCTCATTTTTTCCTTGAAGAATGAAGTTGGTGGACTCATAAAAGCACTGAAAATCTTCCAGGTAAGCACTCTCCATATTTTTTGCATAGTCGTCTTCTCAAATGAGTCTCTAAAATTATATTTAAAAAATAAATTACTGTAAATTCTTTGGAGATGGATAGAAGAAATTTCTTAAGCACTTAAGTTTCTAAAATATTGCTCAATTCTAACAAATGGGCAAGGGATACAAACCATTTACAGAAAAGAAGACACAAACGGGAGGAAAGATTCACTTCACAGATTTCAGAGAAGCAGATTTTAATTTTGTTTTAATTAAATAGAATATTAAATTTTTAATATTATTTGATGACATTAGTAATATATTCCATGGTATTTTTAATAGAGCAAAATAACAAAAATTCCAAAATTATACTGTTCCCTACTGTCAAAGCCTCAATGCATTTGGAACTAAATACACCTTTGGTGCAAGCGTAAATTGGCATAATGTGTAGGGAAACAATAAGTATTAGGAACCTTAAGATGTTCACGCAGTTTGACCCAGTTATTCCACTTCCATAAATCCACCTTTTAATCTTTTTTTTTTTTGAGAGAAACATGCATGCATGAGCTGGGGGGCGGGTGCAGTGAGGGGAGAGAATCTTACACAGGCTCCATGCTCAGTGCTCAGCGTAAAGCCCTATGCAGGGCTTGAGCTCATGACTCCGAGATCATGACCTGAGACAAAATCAAGAGCTGGAGGTTTACCTAACTGAGCTACCCAGGTGCCCCCCACCGATAAATCCATCCTAAGAAAACAGGGTATCTACAAATCCATGTGTTCACAAGTGAGGAAACCAGAACTTGGGTAATGTTATCAAGTATTGTCTTACTGGTTTCAAATTTGGATTAATTGTTTTTGGGGTGTTGAGTTGTATCAGTTCTTTATATACACTGGATACTACTCTTTATCATATACGTCATTTGCAAGTATCATCTCCCATTCAGTAAGTTGCCTTTCAGGTTTGTTGGTTGTTTCCTTTGCTGTACAGAAGCTTTTTTTTTTTTTTTTAAAGATTTTATTTACTTATTTGACAGACAGAGATCACAAGTAGGCAGAGAGGCAGGCAGAGGGAGAGGGGGAAGCAGGCTCCCTGCTGAGCAGAGAGCCCGATGTGGGGCTCTATCCCAGGACCCTGAGATCATGACCTGAGCTGAAGGCAGAGGTTTTAACCCACTGAGCCACCCAGGCACCCCTGTGCAGAAGCTTTTTATTTTGATGTTGTCCTGACAGTTTTCCCAACATCCCTGATACTCTTTTTTCTTGTTGGTTATGTTCCTAATAATTCTTACTTCATCTCTACCTTTGCATCTACAGTTCTTCCTGTTTGGAATCCTCCTACCCTTCTGTCTTCCTACTCTATCTATTCTTTAAGACTCATCTCAGTTCCTGTCTGCTTCATGAAAATGTCTACTTTCTCTGGCTCATAATGCTTTTTCCCAGAATATCTTCTGCACCTAAATACTTACTACTTGTGTTTTCTTTTAGCCTTTCCTGTGGTAGCCAACTAGATGATAAACTCCTTGTTTGACTTGCTTTGCTTTGTATACTTCACAGTTCTTACCTGGCTACTTAGGTGTTCACCAAGTTAATTCAAATTGAACTGGTTAGTGTTGGAAATAAGCTATTCTAACCTCATTTTTTTAGATGTTGAGTAACTGGCTCTTATTTTTCATTATTATGCCACTGGTGCTGGTCCTCAGCTATCCAAGTTGGTAAGAGAAGATATCCTCCTCCCACAGGTTTGCACATATGGCACCCAGTTTGGGCTGGCATGGGAAGAGAGCAGAAGAAGTAATCTGCTTCAGCTGGTTACTAAGTTTGTAGCTTAAGATATTTGAGGTATTAAAGACACTGTTCAAGATGTTCATCTAATTTTATTAAATGCATATTCACAAAGGAAACTTTCCTTTCTAAAGGACTAAAAATAATATCACTTTTTGAAAACACTTTCATTTGTGATCAATTTTTGAAACTTTCTTTTTATCTAGGAGAGTTGATATTTTGATTTGAGGCTGTTCAGTTCTGGCAATTGAGGGCCTTCTAGTAGGTGTTATTTTATTAGTTTCTGGAGGGTGTGATAAAATTTTCAAACTTTTTTGGACAGTAATAATATTTAGGGGGAGTTATTTTGCTGTTGGCAGGATTAAAAACACCATTTTTCTCTTTTGACTATGATGGCAAGTGTGGAATTGATTTTTAGTGGCAATAAAAGTAATGAGCTCAGTGACTGTTACCACTTGAGGCTGTCATATGTCTCTTTACTCTCTGCTTTACTCAGGAGAAGCATGTGAACCTGTTACATATCGAGTCTCGAAAATCAAAGAGAAGAAACTCAGAATTTGAGATTTTTGTGGACTGTGATATCAACAGAGAACAATTGAATGACATTTTTCATCTGTTGAAGTCCCATACTAACGTTCTCTCTGTGAATCCACCAGATAATTTTACTGTGAAGGAAGATGGTAAGTTTGAAAAGTGAAAATCCCACTCAGAAGATTAAGTACATAAAGTGTGTCCAATCTTATATTTATCTTGAAGGCACGAACATAAAAATAAAACACTGTCTCTTCAAATTCCTTAGTTTGGTACTGAAGGGAGCCCAAAATGTAATTGCTCAAAATACTATAGAACACTTATGAAGTAACATTTTATCAAGTGTGAGAGAAGTGAAAGGGAAACACTGGGTAGAAGAAAGAATTCAGAATGGTTGGAAATTAATTAAGTTTTCTCAGTTTCCAAATCATCAAGTGTTTCTTAATTTCACAAACCTTCAATTTACAATTCCTGAGCACTTAGAAATTCCCACAGGGCTTAGCATCTGGCAGATATGAAGTGAATATTCAAATTTGTTGAGAATATTGACAGTCGCTGACAACTATGATGTGAATACACTCTCTACGCAGTCCTCCCTTTCCCCACTCCCACCAAAAGCAAGTGAAAAGCAACAAAGCCTCCTAAGGTTTCAGGTGGCTAAGAACTTCTGTTGTGGAAAAAATCCTTGGGACAAAAGATAAAAGGATAATTGAACCACATTTTGTATATAGTACATAATTTAGAATAATCCCTTAGATTATTGTACTGGGTACTGTAGATTATTGTACTGTATCGGTACTGGGGTGTAATCAGGGCCGATACTCATTTGTTATGTATTTGTATGGCTGTTGTAAGTTATTAAAATAATAATATGCTTCCATTCATGAGTGCCAGATAGCTGTTTCCCCGAGTCCCTTGCATATCCCCGCCATGCCTGAAGGCTGTGTGCTCCAGATGCTACCCTCAGAGTCCCAGGCCCACTACAAATAACCGAAGGGTTAACAGCTGGTGGGGCAGGAGCCTAGGACTCTGCTCCTGTCTATTTTGAGTGACTCGTGCGCCTGTGGTATTTCTGGTTAAATCTACTTGACTATCACTTTTGCGTATGTTAAAAAGAGCATTGGGCTGGAACAAGGTGGATTGAATTCTAGTCCCCTCTCTTCCAACAGAGATGAGTTACCTTGGATAAACTACCTCTCTGAGCTTTGATTATCCCATCTGTAAAATGAGGAGTTTTCTAGGGGCTAAATGGTTCAGTTGATATTTAGGGAATACTGATTTATGTCAGTTATTTCTACGAAGAAACAGGGATACAAACATAGAGCCCTTCCCCTAGAGTCCTTCCTGATCTTTCCTATAAGACAGATAGATATAAGCAGATCAGTTTCAGAGAATCAGAGCCCCAGGGACAGAGAATTAGCTCCACCTACAGGGTTGGGGAAGGTTCATTTGATTTGGGTCTTGAAGGAGGAAAAGGATATTCTTAGGAAAATAGAAGGATGGCGGGGGGGGGGGGGGTTGGAGAGAAGGAGAACAGCAGATGCAAACGCCCAGAGTTACAGGAGGGCTTGTATCTCAGAGGGAAGGTGAGGGGGTGAGAGATCAAAGTGACAAAGGCATCAGTGATCTCTAAAAGCCTTTGCATCAATGAAAAGAAACATTCAAAATTCTCATTAAATTAGCACCTTATTCTGTTTTTTTAAAAATGATAGTTAATATGTAGCTTATACAATTTTTTTGATACTTTAATTCTATTACTAAAGTATAGCATTTCTCCAATGCTTAGGAAATCAAGGCTCAAAAATTTCTTTGAACTAAAAAATTTTGAATGAATTTTACTTATTAGAAAAAGGGCAACTTACTTATATAAATTTTGCCTCAGAGTACAAGCTACAATAAAAAAAATTTCATCCAAATGTACTTATGACTTTCTTAATTTCTTCTTTCTTATTGCCTTCAGATCTCAACTGTTAGTGGTTTTGTATTTTGCAGGTATGGAAACTGTTCCTTGGTTTCCAAAGAAGGTTTCTGACCTGGACCATTGTGCCAACAGAGTTCTGATGTATGGATCTGAACTGGATGCCGATCATCCTGTAAATATTTTTAATAAATAGTTCCATGAAAATAATTTAAAGCAAACTAAAAATTAGGGGAAATTCTTTTCTTTTTTTGGAGAAGGTGCTTATTCCAGAATAAGTGGGATCTAGTTTTAATCTGGATTTCGGGAAGTGCCCGTAGTTTTCCACATTGGCGGAATCCCAACTAATGTCTGAAGAGCATCTAAATTCATTAGCTCTGAAACCCCTGTCCCATGTCTGGCATTCCTATTAATAAGAGCTTCTCTGTCATAGAATTCTCAAGAATTCTGCTAAAATGAAGACAGTATCCGCAGCAGTTTTTGTTTAAGTGGGTATGGATTATTGGAAATGGGGGGGACAGGTAAGGATAAGGGAGAAATACTTACTACTCACGCTGTCCGGCAGGACTGATTTATTAGGCAGTTGATGAACTGGGAAGTTGTTTCTTTGGAAAATTATACGAGACATAGTACAGGCATGAGTTGGATAATTAGCAAGCCCAGAGCATTAGGGTTGCCTTTGGAGTCGTAGGGTTCTGGGAAGGTCGAGAAAAAAAAGAGTGCCATTTTGGAGTTGTATGCAGCAGGTCTTTGATATGCCACTTAGTAGATCTGTTCGTTGGCTGCATATTGCCTTAGAGAGCCCTCAGCTGATCTACCCTTTTTTCCATAATATCGCATTGAGCAATTTATTAATTGTAATTGTATTTGCCCTCAAGGCATTTGCAGTCTAGTTGGAAAATAAAGCACACATCTATAAATAAGCATGTGAGTAAATTGTGAAAAGTCCTAAATGGAATGAACAGATTGCTTTGAGGTGTACATAAGAAGGCAAACACTTCTCATTGAAGAGATCAGAGAAAGGCAACATTTTAACACAGTCTTAAAGGAGTTTGGCAGGAAAGATATGGGAAGAAAGGACAGTTCATTGTAACATGAGCAAAGGTTCAGTGGTAAGAAAATCCAGAGCATGTTTATGGAGAGGTGGCTAAATAATTTTTTCTGATCTACTACCAAGTGCTACTGATTTTTACCTCCTAAATATTGCTTAAATTTGTTCCTAATTTATCCCTATTATCATACCTTTAACTGATCCCTCAGCCTCCAGCTCACCACCTCAAACCCACCCTCCTCATAGTCACGAGAATGATCTAAAACTTCAGTATGATCATTATCCCTTTTCTGCCTAAAACTCACCAACGATACCTAGGTACCCATCTAAGAAAATTGAAAACATGTGTTCATACAAAAACTTGTACACAAATTTTCATAGCAGCTTAATTCATAGTAACAAAAAAGTAGAAACAACCCAGATGCCCATCCACTGATAAGCAGATCAGTAAATTGTGATAAGTCCATAAAATGGAATATTAGTGATCATAAATTAACACAAAATACTGATACATGCATGCGACAACAGGGAGGAACCTTGAAAACTGTGATAATAGAAGAAGCTGGTCACAAAAGACCATGTGTTCATGATTCCTTTTATACGAAATATCCAGAATACCCAAATTCATAGGAACAGAAAGTAGATTAATGGTTGCCAGGGGCTGGAGATGAAGGGAAATGGTGGGGAGTCTGTGAATGAGTGTGGTGTTTCTTCTGGGGATAAACATTTTCTGAAATTATAGTGAAGTGGTTGCACTACACTGTGACTGTACTAAAATCATGACACTGTACACTTTAACATTTTATGGTGTGTGAATTATATATCAATAAAGATGTTTTTTTTGTTTGTTTGTTTGTTTGTTTGTTTTTTTAATCACCAGTGGCTTCCCATCACCCACCCAAAGACTGAAATCCAAGCTGTTTCAGACCCGGACTAGCAGGCCTCAAACTAGTCTGCGCCAGGCTCCACCTCCTTCTCCAAGCTCCAGCTCACATTTCCTCAGTCACAGCTTACTGTTTTTCATTGCTGCACTGACATTGATGCTATCCTTTCTGTCCTTTCCCACCCAACTGTCCCCACTCCTTTTCTGAGACTTAGCTTGGGAGTCACTGTTGGGAAACCCTTCCTGACCACCCTTACTCTCTTTCACATATGCTGGATTAGGAGTTTCTCTTTTGAGTTCAGTGGCATTTTGGGCATATCTCTAATAAGGCAGTTAGCATATTGTTTCATAATAATTGGTTAATGTAAACTCCCTGAAGACCCAGGTTGTGCTTTGCTCCTATTTGTTTCTCTGGATTTTAGCACAAGGCCAGGTGCATAGGAGGGGCTTGTAAATCTGTGTTAAAGAGATAAGTCTCATTCTCCCTTCTTATTTCTTCCCCTTTTTTTCCTGTTTTGCATTATTGGCTCTTTTCTCCTGGGCTTTGCTTTTTGAAGTCTTATTTTTTCTGTTTGGTTTTTTAAAAAATATTTTCTAGGTATAAATTCTAATGTTACTATTTTATCTTTTTATTATTATTGTTTGCTTTAGCAAATATGAATATGTTTGCATTTTGTGATGAAATCTAAGGCTAGATTTAGTTGTCATGACTCCATGTATTATTAGTTACCATTCTATTATGAATTATGATTACAGGAAAATATAGCTGAAGGTGTTGTCAAACGATTAAGAAAAAAAATCTCACATTTGGAAAAGAGTTGTGTGTTTAACTAGGATGATGCTTTTCTTATTCCTCAAACCATTTTATTTTTGTAGCCACTATAAGATTATTGTATCTTTGTATCTATAGTATCTTTTATTTAGTAGCCATTATAGTATTAAGCTTTCCTATAACATTGCCTTTTTTAATTAACTTATTTTATTGAAATTCGATTAGTTAACATTTAGTGTATCATTAGTTTCAGATGTTTAGAGTTCAGTAATTCATCGGTTGCATATAACACCCAGTGATCATTACATCACATGCCCTCCTTAATGCCCAACACTCACTTACCCCATCCCTCTCACCCATAAGATTGCCTTTAAAATAAAAATAATCATACATTTCTAAACAGTGCTTACTCAAAATTACAATTATGTAGCCCTTTAATATCGTAACTTGAGTAATAATTAAATGTTCCCTAGATATCATTTGTCAAATTTTTTAATATGGATATTTTTAAACTTTTCTTTAATTATCAGGGCTTCAAAGACAATGCTTACCGTAAAAGACGGAAATATTTTGCAGACTTGGCTATGAACTATAAACAGTAAGTATATTATAAAAATAACTTACTCAATTTTGAAATAAAAAAATGAATAGAGTAGATTATGCTCATTTATCAAATAAAAGATAAATGCTATTGTTTACTGAATGCTAATTCAAAATAACTCTGTATGTCTCACTAGTGGAGACCCCATTCCCAAAGTTGAATTCACTGAAGAGGAGATTAAGACCTGGGGAACTGTGTTCCGAGAGCTCAACAAACTTTACCCAACCCACGCCTGCAGAGAGTATCTCAAAAACTTACCTTTGCTTTCTAAATATTGTGGATACCGGGAAGATAATATCCCACAATTGGAAGATGTCTCAAACTTTTTAAAAGGTAATATGCTTCATTTTTTGTAAGGGGTATGTTGAGCTCTGTTGTGATCATGACAGAATTTTTTTTTTTAAATATTGTATTTATTTATTTGACAGAGAGACACAGCGAGAGAGGGAACACAAGCAGGGGGAGTGAGAGAGGGAGAAGCAGGCTTCCCACCAAGCCGGGAGCCCGATGCGGGGCTCGATCCCAGAATCTTGGGATCATGACCTGAGCCGAAGGCAGACGCCTAATGACTGAGCCACCCAGGTGCCCCATGACAGAATTTTTAATAGAGGAATAAAAAGTTCAAGTGTATGGGAGGTCAGAATTTTTCTTACTGTGTCCTGGAGTATTGGACCCAGTATTGGGCATCCCATTTGAAGAGGGACAATTATAATCTGGAGTGAATGTGGAGAAGTGAGCAGAATTATAAGGAGCTTGGAAAATGTATTATATAAGTAAAGTTTGAAGGACTCTTAGGATGTTTAACCTGGAGATATAGGGGCCATGATAGCTTTATTTAAATACTAGCTGATCATCTTATGTAATAGAGGGAATACTATGTGACCCTAAAGTAAATGACAGTTGGATAGAAACTGCAAGCTTTTAGCTCAAAATGGAGAGGACCTTGTTAAATGAGCCATTTGAAAATGGAACAGGCTCATGAGATTTCTGCACCCCTGGAGGTTTTCATGCAAAAGTTCTACACCCACTTGTCAGGGATGTGGTAGAGAACACTCAAGCTACTTGGAGAAGACTGGAGTAAATGGTCTCCAAAGCTCCTTTCCACCCTAAGACCCCATCATTCTCCCAAGAAAGAAGATGTGCTAGTAGAAGCATCAACAAAGAAGCATCAACAGTTTTTTTTCCTTTTAGTTCTTCCTGCTTATTTGGTTCAGGCTTCCTTATTTTTTCTAGCTAGTACAGGAAGTAAAATGATTAGTGATCTCCAGGGTTTACAATATATAAGAAAGATAAATATCCCCCTTGATCTCAGCAGACTAGAACCTTAGGGAACAAATAGAAGTTATGTTTTTCATGTTTATTTCCATCATGGTCTGAAATTTCTATCTTTGAATTTCTTACATAGATCATCATAAAAACCTACATATCTGTTTGACTCCATAATTCTTGTTTGTCAACCACTATGCACAAAACTAAGAAAAACTAAGCAGGAAAAATGCACTATTGTTTTATAAGAGAAGAACTTCTATAAATGGTTCCTATAAAGACTAGATTTAAAAAAAAAGTGATTAGGATGACAGAGAACCAACACACATAACCTCACATATGGGTCCAACAAAGATGGGCAAGCATATGCTGTAGAAGTTATCACGTTAAATTTACTTGAGATTTGGAGGAAGTATTTTGCTAGGGATAGAAAATGGAAAGCTGTTCACTTGGGGTCTGGAGTGTGAGCTGGCTGCTGAACAGGTTGCTAAAGGTGTTTCAGGGGAAATTGTCAAAGAGGGAAACCCAAACCTAAATGATTGTTCAAACAAAATATTGGTTAGAAGGCGCTCTTTACACTATCAAATATGGTGGCTCCTAGATGCATATGGTTGTTTAAATAATTCACATTAGGGTAAATCAAAATGTTAGTTTCCTAGCCACAGTAGCCACATTTCAAGTGCTTAATAGCCCTGTGTGGTTAGTGGCTACCTTACTGGGTAGCCTAGCTGTAGAGCATTTCCATTATTGTGGAGAGTTCTATTGGACTATGAAGTCCACCCATCAGAGTGGGGAAATCCAAGTACAAAAGGAACTGGGTGGAAGTGGAAGAGCAGAGGGCGAGTTTCCATGTTTTCCCTTAAAATGCTACTGGCAGAATTAAAATGTTGTAGAAAATGGTCTGTTGGGGTGAAGATTTTCTCGTTTTCTCCTTTGCTTTGCAGAGCGCACTGGTTTTTCCATCCGTCCTGTGGCTGGTTACCTGTCACCAAGAGATTTCTTATCAGGTTTAGCCTTCCGGGTTTTCCACTGCACACAGTACGTGAGACACAGTTCCGACCCTCTCTATACCCCAGAGCCGTGAGTACTTCCGTTTAGTATTCATTCATCAAATAGTTATTTGTCGTGATGATACCTCCTTCAGGAGTCTGGTGTGACAATTAAATGAATGAACATGTGTAAAAAATTTGGAACAGTGCCTGGCACATAATACATGCTCCATGGTCTATGTATGTTAGCCGTTATCAGTACTATTTTTTTTAAAAGATTTTATTTATTTATTTGACAGAGAGAGATCACAAGCAGGCAGAGAGGCAGGTAGAGAGAGAGGAGGAAGCAGGCTCCCCGCTGAGCAGAGAGCCCGATGCGGGGCTCGATCCCAGGACCCTGAGATCATGACCCGAGCCGAAGGCAGCGGCTTAACCCACTGAGCCACCCAGGCGCCCCATCAGTACTATTTTTAATTGACAGCCTGTTACCTGTTAGGTGCCCAGTGCTAGCCTAAGCATAGGGAGTGTAAAAAATCAGACAAAAGTTTCTGCCTTCATAGAATTTATATTCCAGTGGGGATAGAGATAATAAATAAGTAAATTTCTATAAATATAATAAATATATAATATATGTAAATTTATATATGTGTAAATATATATATATTTTTAAAGATTTTATTTATTTATTTGACAGACAGAGATCACAAGTAGGCAGAGAGGCAGGCGGGGTGGGGGGTGAAGCAGGCTCCTTGCTGAGCAGAGAGCCCGATGTGGGGCTCGATCCCAGATCCCTGAGATCATGACCTGAGCCGAAGGCAGAGGCTTTAACCCACTGAGCCACCCAGGCACCCCTGTAAATATATGTATTTAATATCACCAATCAATGGTGATAAGTGCCACTGAGAAAAGTAAAGCAGAGAAAGGGGAATGTGGCGGATGTGTGGAGTGTTTCTATTTTGAAAAGCGTGATCAGACAAGGACTCACTGAGAAGGTGACATTTGAGCAGAGACCTGATTTGGTTGGGGTGTGGGACAGACATGTCTATGGGTGTCTTATGTGTATATGTTTGTAAGTGGCCTAAGTTTTGAACCGAAATAGTTTCTTCAGTAAATTACTAGTGTCTTTCGTGGTCCACTTGCAAAGTAATACCACCCGAATCAAAGTAAGATCAGATTTTGGTTTGATTGAATTGTTGACCGTGGTTTATATGTGACATGAGCATATAAGAGCATATAAGAGTGACGAACTTTTACCTCTTTTTCAGAGATACTTGCCATGAGCTCTTAGGTCATGTTCCCCTTTTGGCTGAACCTAGTTTTGCTCAATTCTCCCAAGAAATTGGCCTGGCTTCCCTTGGAGCTTCAGAGGAGTCTGTTCAAAAACTTGCAACGGTATAAATTGGAAAATAGCTATAGAGATCAGTAATTCTTATCGGGTTTGGGATGGGAGTGTCAGTTTAAAAGGATGTATTTAAGGTGACTGTTAGACAGTTTGTCTTTGCTCATATTTAATTTAATTTAAATAATTTCAATAGCAGTAAAGGAGGATGTGAAATTTTAAGATTCATCAACAGGAGACATGGGCTTTAAAAAAGAGAGAGAAACGCTGGAGTTCAATCATGTTAATTGTTTGAGATCTTTTTTTAGTAAAAATGATGAGTCCTCTGAAAATGATGCTAAAGATGCTTTTGAGCCTCTGTGCTAGAAATACAAAGATGAGAAAGATCTGGTTCCTGCCTTCAAGGAGTTTATGTGCAACTTAAGGAGACAGTCATTTTAGAATGGGGTAAACTCTACAGAGAAGTTTAGGCAGAGTATTCTGGGAGGGCAAAGAATGGCTTGGGGAAGGTTTCGTGGAAGAGGAATGTCTGGACTAGCCTAGGGAAGGTTCGTCATGTTTTCACCTGCCAAGAAAGGAAGGAAGAGGATCTTAGGATAACGGCACCCAAGGAAATACAAGGAGGTGCTTGGTGTGTCTGGGGAAATGACAAGAAGCTGGAACAGAGTGTGATAGGGTGGGGGATGTAGTATGAAAAAGGCTGGATGATTAGAACAGTGCTTCTCAAATTGTGGTTTGGGGACCCCCTGGTGTTCCTGAAACCCTTGCACAGGGTCCTTGAGTGAAATATACACTCAGGGTGCAAAGTGGATTTCAATATAAGAGCTAGAGTTCATTGATATGGTTTCAGATTCCACACTGCAGCTGAACTCTAAGAAATTAGCACTTGTTGAGTTTTGATGTAGCGTCAAAGAATATCCACAGTTATCTGAAAAGGCTATTAGAATCCATAGCCTTCTTCCAACTGCTTATCTGTGTGAGGCTGAGTTTTCTTCATAGCCTTTAACTAAAACAACATAGGGCCACAGGTTAAATATAGAAGCAGATAGGAGAATCCATCTTGTTTTTCTAGCCAGATATTAAATAACATCTAGACAGACATTTAAAAAGATTGGGAACAATGTAAAACAATGCTTCTTTCCTGACCCTTTTTAAAATGTTGTGCAATAGAGTTATTTTGCATTAAATTGGTATGTTATCATAAAATGGTTTATTACATTTTAAAATTAATTAGTAGACATGTAAATGTTTTCAGTTTTAACTTTTACTCTAATAAATTTAGTGAGCTGTAATCCACATAAACAAAAAGTCCTTCGGGTCCTGAGTAATTTTAAGAATATGCAAGAGTCCTGGGAACAGCAGTTTGAGAAGTGCTGGTTTAGAATGAGGCCAGGTTGTAGAAATACTTGGGAACCGGTCTGGGGATCTTGAACTTCTTTCCAGGGCACTGTGGGTCAGTGACTAATAGTTGCTGTTTGTTTTAAATTGAGTTATTCAGGCTGTGAAAGTAATATCAATGTCCTTTTGCAGTGCTACTTTTTCACTGTGGAGTTTGGTCTCTGTAAGCAAGACGGGCAGCTGAGAGTCTTTGGTGCTGGATTACTTTCTTCTATCAGTGAACTTAAGGTAAAAGCCATAAATCTCTCCACATAGCCATGTTCACATACTATAACTGATACGACCGGAAAGAGTTTTTGGACTTGAACAAGTGCATACTATGGAAAATACTTGGGGTGGCAGTAAAGACAATTTTCTCTATTTCCTAGGCTTATAGAGATACCCTATTTTTCTTTTTTTACTTATATGTGGAATTTAAAAAAAGAGACATTATTTATTTATTTGACAGAGAGAAAGTGAGAGCAGGAACACAAGAAGGGGCAGAAGGAGAGGGAGAAGCCGGCCTCCTGCCAAGCAGGGAGGCTGATGCAGAACTTGATCCCAGGACCCCAGGATCATGACCTGAGCCAAAGGCAGATGCTTAAAGACTGAGGCACCCAGGCACACCCTTATATGTGGAATTTAATTACTTAATTTCTTTCTCTCTTTTTTGAGTATAGTTGACACACTATAGACATGTTATTTATTTATTTGAAGGTTTATTTATTTATTTTGGAGAAAGAAAGTACCTAAGCGAGGGGGGAAGGGCAGAGGGAGAGAGAGAATTCCCAATGCAGACTCCCTGCTGAGTGCAGAACCTTATGCGGGGCTTGACCCCAGGACCCTGAGATCATGACCTGAGCCAAAGCCAAGAGCTGGGCACTTAACCCACTGAGCCACCCAGGTGTCCCAACAGATATATATATATATATATTTTTTTTTTTTTTAAAGCATTTTAAAGCTTTTGCTTACAAAGTTTTGCTGTTCCCTCACCATTTTTAGTGTGTAAGCCATAACTTCTCCTAAATTCTATGGAATTCTTTGAGAATTATTATTTACCCAATAAAGGAATGATCTTATGTTTGCTGAGTGACGGGTTGTGTGTGAAATACTGTTCATGGTACTTCTTGCTCTCAGGAGTCTATCACGTGATGGCGGGTACAAGTCACCTACAGAAATAACTAGTGCAGGTGAGGAAGTCGGTGTCATAATGCAGGAATATACATGAAGATCGTCGGGTGCCTCTTACCTGGAAAGAGTGTTAGAACAAAGTCATGGAGATGATCTCAGGGCATTTATGGGGAATAGCAAGCCATTTGTTTTGCTGGAGTATATTGTGGGTCAAATAATGCTGTAGGAAATAAGTTTGGAATTATAGGTTGGGCCATTACGTCAGTGCCCTCAGCAGTGTGTTGATTCTGGTGGTGATGTTTGGGATGTGATCCATGAAGTTAGACAGTATTCTTTGATTCACTGACTCTCTGTCTTCTAGCATTCACTTTCTGGACATGCCAAAGTAAAGCCCTTTGATCCCAAGATTACCTGCAAACAGGAGTGTCTCATCACAACTTTTCAGGATGTCTACTTTGTATCTGAAAGCTTTGAAGATGCAAAGGAGAAGATGAGGTAAGGTATATCTTCCCCATGGCTTCACTCTCCTCTGCAAAAGATAGGTCCAGTGATGGTAACAAATCACAGAAGTAAGCGGGCTGGATAGTTAGAAGCCTACGAGGTAACGTCTGCCTCTGACGTAGCTCCCTTTCACAAATAAATATTTAGAGTATGTTGTTTATGGTGATGTTTGGTGTTTACATATATGAATCGGATACATTGAGAAACTGGTTTCTTCCCATCAGAGTTTATAATCTATTAGGAAAAATAAACTATATGCAAATTACTGTATCACAGCATAGAAAGCCTTAGAGAGATACTGATGAAACTTTGTTTTCCATTTTATTCAGAAGCAATTTATTCTAGATGGGGGAACAGGGAATGCTTAATGGCATCTGAGAAAGCACTTGAAGGATGAATAGAATGTAGATATGCTAAGTTTTAGGCTAAGGGAGAGCATGAAATAAGTAAGGGAGGTGGAAAAAGGTGATGCAATGAAGCTATGCTTTAACTATTTTTTTTTAAAGATTTTATTTATTTATTAGAGAGAGAGAGCAAGCGCAGGCAGACAGAGTGGCAGGCAGAGGCAGAGGACGAAGCAGGCTCCCTGCCGAGCAAGGAGCCCGATGCGGGACTCGATCCCAGGTTGCTGGGATCATGACCTGAGCCGAAGGCAGCCGCTCAACCAACTGAGCCACCCAGGTGTCCCGCTTTAACTATTTTTTATTTTATTTTTTTTTTAATTTTTTTTTTTTTTTAGATTTTATTTATTTGTCAGAGAGGGAGAGAGAGCGAGCGAGCACAGGCAGACAGAATGGCAGGCAGAGGCAGAGGGAGAAGCAGGCTCCCCGCTGAGCAAGGAGCCCGATGTGGGACTCGATCCCTGGACGCTAGGATCATGACCTGAGCCGAAGGCAGCTGCTTAACCAACTGAGCCACCCAGGCGTCCTGCGCTTTAACTATTTTTTAAAAGAGATTTTATTTATTTATTTGACAGAGAGACAGCAAGAGAGGGAACACAAGCAGGGGGAGTGAGAGAGGGAGAAACAAGCTTCCTGCTGAGCAGGGAGTCTGATGCAGGGCTCGATCTTAGGACCCTAGAATCATGACCTGAGCTGAAAACAGACACTAAATGACTGAGCTACCCAGGCGTCCCATGCTTTAACCACTTTTTAAAAAAATGATTTTATCTATCTATCTATCTATCTATCTATCTATCTATCTATCTATCTATCTTCTATTTATCTATTTATAGAGCACAAGTCAGGGGAGGAGGAAAGGGAAAGGGAGAGAGAGAATCTCAAGCAAACTCTGCAATGAGTGTGGAGACAGACACGGGGCTTGATCTCACCACCCTGAGATCATGACCTGAGCTGAAATGAAGACTCAGGTGCTCAACCAACTGAGCCACCTAGGCACCCCACTATGCTTTAACTATTAATCAGCTATATGTATTGTTAAGAAAGAAAGACACTGGAGACAGAGAAACTACTCAGGAGATTTTTGTAATACTTCAGATGAAAATGAGAGCCTGGGCCAAGACAGAGGTAGTAAGAAAGGAAGGACTAGAGAAGCAGAATCAACAAAATATTTGGTGGAAGGGGTCTCAGGTCACATTGTGAGATCATTGTGGGACAGATGGGGGTTGAAGACATGTTCCTTGTTTTCCAGAGATTTTCTGATACTTGGGGAGTTAGGCCAGACCCAGAACCAAATAACAATACCAGCAGGGCTACCTCTAGCTCATATGGTCTCTTTGCACAGACTCAAAGAATCGGTCCCTCCTGTGTAGACCAGGTGGATTGCAAGCTGCTTTTCAGCCCTTACTCATGTACAGTTGTCCTCAGCTGTGTTCCTAGGGGTCTAGAACACAATTGTTTTTGGGGGTGCCAAATGAGAGGTTCGAATGTTGACTTGATGAAGAGGGCAGGACTTGAATGCATGAAGAAAGGGTAGAAGTTAGGTCATTTGAGAGAAAGCTAGAGGAAAACATTGTAAATAGAAAGAATGTCCAAGTGCAGGAGGCAGGACTGCTCTTGGGGTGTGTGTGTGTGTGTGTGTGTGTGTGCGGGTGTAGTTAGGTAAATCACAGCTGAGGGGTGTTACTAGGTAGTCAAGTGCGCCACTGTCTCCTGATCAAGCTACTGTAGTCGGTCTCCTTACTGTAGCCAAGAAATGTATAAAGTAATAAATCGTTAATAAAGTCACCCACAGGATCTTTCCCTGGCAATGCAGGCATGGGTGTGTCTATGACAGCTTTAGGTTTCATATCTGTGTAGGATTCCAGGGGATCTCTGCACGTGCTGTGTAGGGAAGCAGGTCAGATGGGTTGTGTGAACAACTGATAAAGATTTATCCATCGCCTCTGGTGTGCAATAGGTTTGCTGTTGCTCATTCAGTTTTCATCCTCTGCTTCCTGGAAATTGATTGCCTCTTATTTGATTTCTTAAATAGAGAATTTACCAAAACAATCAAGCGTCCATTTGGAGTGAAGTATAATCCGTACACACGGAGTGTTCAGATCCTGAAAGACACCAAGAGCATAACCAGCGCCATGAAGGAGCTGCAGCATGATCTCGATGTCGTCAGTGATGCCCTTGCGAAGGTCAGCAGACAGCCGATCAGCTGATCCTGAGAGGGTCTGAGCGCCAGTTCCGAGGCCTGTGGGCCAGCTCCTGCTTTTCTTGAAGACCTGCTTGCGGAGGAACAGCAGCCAAACGATATTCTCCACTCCTATTCCTTAATCAGTTCTTTGAAAATTCGCCCCTGAATACTCTATACCACTACCTATTATTTTTTGGGGGTAACAGCTTTAGCGAAATATGATTCATATATGTTACAATTCACTGATCAGTTGTTTTTTTATAGAGAATTTTTTTCACCCCAGAGATAGATCTCATACCACCTTGATTCTCTTTTCCCTAATCCTTCTTCAATAAAATGACCTTTAGGATCACTTAAAATACCTGGATGGGTATTATGGACCCGACCCATACTGCTACCTAAGAACCTCTTACTTCTAAAGTATATTACTTATCTTTGGCTTTGTGCCAACCTTGATCACATTCACAGCCCTAAATTTAATAGGAGACCAGCTTTCTCCACTTCTAGTGTGGGCAGGAGTATAGAGGTCTTTGTATGTGAAGCCTACCTTGTAAAGAGGAAGTAGTCTAGTTTCCAAGTGTGGTATCTTGTAGGGAAGTATGAGTAGCCAAATCTGGAAACGTTGGTTGGGGTATAATCATCAAGCCCAGGCTAATAATTTGGGACTTTATTCGGTAGGGAACTAGGGAGTCCCTTCCCAAGCGACTATCCTCCTTGAGTGAGACCCTTTGCTTTCTAAGGCACTGCATGATGCTGGCTTTGTTTTAGATGATCTCTTCTACTCATGGGGCCAAGGGGAACTTCGGGGTACCATATGTAAGGCCCTATGCTTACACATGCAGGGTATTATGATGGGATTTGTCCTCAGGTTAGCAGGAGTTGTCATTGTCAAATGGAGAGTTCAAACGGAGACAGATGAAAGAAACACAAAGTTAAGGATGGGAAAGCAACATGGAGCACTTCATCTCCAAGGTATAGGTGAGGTCATAAATATGGAGGCAAGGTATAGGGGGTAGAGGGTGGGGAAATGGGTGGGGAAATGGGATGTAAGAAAAGTGAAGAAAACCGTTTTAGGTCTGACACCAAAAATGCAAGGGTGGAAAGGACTGGTTTTATGTGCTGTTAGGTATGTAGGACAGGGAATGGGCCTGTTAGAAGAGGATGAAGCTGGACTCGTGAATACGTGCTGTGTCTTTTCCATTTGCTCCTTTTCTCCTCCCCCCCCTTTCCCTCAGGTTTCTGTCTTTGGCCCTCTTCTCTCTCTGCCATCTCTTTTATGGGAAATGGCATCCACATCTCTGACTTCAATTCCTTTTTTTTTCTTTAAGATCTATTTATTTATTTTAGAAGGTGGCGAGGGACAGAGGGAGAGAGAGTCCTAAGCAGACTCTACACTGAGTGTGGAGCCTGATATAGGACTTGATCTCACAACCCTGAGATCAGGACCTAAGCCAAAACCAAGAGTTGGATGCTCAACCTGCACCACCCAGGTTCCCCTATGACTTCAATTCTTGTTTTCTGTGACTTCCATATTTGCATTTCTAACCTTGACATCTTTCTTGAATTTTTGCATCTTAAGTCCAGCTGCCTGCTGGGTATTTTCCATCTAGATATCCTATAAATCAGGCCAATGTTGTACAACTTCTTATAGTACCATTCACGTAGAATGAAATGGGTTAGTACAACATGGTAGCCCTGCCAAGTATCTCAAACTCAAAAGGTTAAAAAAACCACAAAGAAAAACCTTAGAATCATCTGAATATTACACCCCATCAGCTTCCTCTCCCAGTGATGTCATTTCTGTTAATAATATATTAAGGGTCATATTTTCCACCAAGTTTTCATTCTTAATCAGCTACTTAAAAAACTCTGTCTTTACTCCCCCCCCCATGAATAGTCAAATTGTATAGCATTTAATACATTTTATTTCAACAGAGCTCTAGATCTTTTAATCATTTTTAGAACTCAAATTATAAAAAACTTTATCATACAATGAAATAGAATTGGGAAGAGTAATTCATGCTATTTCAGATTTATACATTACTTATAATTTTAATTAAGTGTAACTATTAATATAACTTTGATAGTAATTGATCTAAGTTAGCTAATCTAAAATCATTTGAAATACTGATCAGCTAGTTTTTTAGTTGGTGTATCTGGTTGCAAAGAAATCTATTGTAAGAAAACCATGATAGATAACAGTTAACAGCAATTTATAGATACTATATCTGGTTATTTTCATACAACTTTGATCATAGATATTGAATTTTAAAATTATAGTGTTTAAAACCACTCTATGACTAAAGCACACTAAAATGAATGTTAAAGCACAATCATTATTATTCATAACTTCAGGATAATGGAAATATTTAATGATTGATTTCAGTTCTCCTAACCTCTGGATATGTGATAATTGGTAAATCAGGAGTCCTGAGAGTTTTCATGCATTTTAAAAATATATCTTCAAAGCACCTAAGAATATGTTAATATTTACTCCAATATGAGAACAGAATTGAGCCAAAAAGTTTGGTTTATAATTCTTAGTCAGTGACTTCTTACTTAAGGACTTAGATGGTATTTCCCTGACTTTTTGAAGAAAGTTCCAAAAGCTGGTTGCCAGAATGCCTGTGTTTCTTAATCTGCCTGTTTTGTAATTCAGAGTTGTTAATAGTAATGACACACCAGAATGTATACAATTATACCTAGTTTTTAAGTTGGCTTTCAAATTGAAAAAGGAAAAAAAATCCTGGAGTTCTTTAAAAGCACACATAATGGAGTTCATATATTAATTTCTAGGAAATGAATAAAGATGCTATGGTCCATTTCAATCTAGTCTTTATTTTACTATGTAATATACTTTTATGATTTGTAAGTTTGTTATTTAACTGGTTAGTTAAATGGACAAAGTTTTACTAGTTAGTAAATGGACAAATTTACTAGTTAGTAAATGGACAAAAAATTCATGTTCTTTTTTTTTTAATATTTCATTTATTTATTTGACAGAGAGAGATCACAAGTAGGCAGAGAGGCAGGCTGAGAGAGAGGGGGAAGCAGGCTCCCCGCTGAGCAGAGAGCCCGATGTGGGGCTCGATCCCAGGACTCTGGGATCACGACCCGAGCCGAAATTGTATTTATTTGAGAGAAAGCACAAACCGGGGAAGGGGCAGAGGGAGAGGAAGAAGCACACTCCCATCTGAGCGGGGAACTCATGGTGGGGCTTGATCCCAGGACTCTGGGATGATGACCTGAGCTGAAGGCAGCCACTTAACTGACTGAGCCAACCCAGGCTCCCCAAAATTTGTGTTTTTTTTTTTTTTTTTTTAAAGATTATTGATTTATTTCTCTCTCTCTCTCTCTCTCTCTCTCACACACACACACACACACAGAGGGAGCACAGCAGGGATAGCAGCAGGAGGCAGAGGAAGAAGCAGGTTTACCCCAAGCAGGGAGCCCAACGTGGGGCTCAATCCCAGGACCCAGGGGTCATGACCTGAGCTGAAGGCAGATGGTTAATGACTGAGCCACCCAGGCACCCCCAAAATTCATGTTCTTAAGAAGCATTCTTTTTTTTTTTTTTTTTTTTGGTCAAACATAAGTTAAAAACTGATTTATGGGGCACCTGGGTGACTTAATTGGTTAAGCATTCGACTCTTGATTTCGGCTCGGGTCATGATCTCAGGCTTGTGAGAGCAAGCCTCGGGGGGAGCATGGAGTCTGTTTACGATTCCCAGCTTTCCCCACCCTGCCCCCTGGCTCCGACCCCTGGCTCTCTCCTCCTCTCTCTCTCTCAAACACAAAACAAACCAAAAGAAACCGCAAAACAAAACACAAAACCTGGTTTAAATATATATTAGCAATTTCATAAGTTTAAGAAATCTATAACATTCTTACATTTCTTTTTTTTTAAGGTTTTTAAAATTTATTTGACACAGAGATAGAGAGTACAAATAGGCAGAGCAGCAGGCAGAGGGAAAAGGAGAAGGAGGCTCTCTGCTGAGCAGGGAGCACGATGTGAGGCTCGATCCCAGGACCTTGAGATCATGATCTGAGCTGAAGGCAGACACTTAACTGACTGAGCCACCCAGGTGCCCCCGTTCTTACATTTCTTGAAAAGCCTGTGAATATGAGATACAAAGGAAGGTGAATACACCTGGAACCTAGAAACTACTTTTGGAATTTTTGATAAAATCTCAATCATGTGTTCCTCATCTGTGTAAGGAACTAAATCTGCTTCACTGAGTTATTGGAGGAATTATGTTGCAAAAGAACGTTGTAAAAAGAAACATCCGTGGAGCACTGGGTGTTGTACGTAAACAATGAATCTTGGAACAGTACATCAAAAACTAATGATGTATTGTAGGTTACTTACATAACACAATAAAAAAAAAGAAAAAAGAAACATCCATGTGTAAAGCATCACTAATATAATCACTGTCCTGATCCAGGATCCCCCATAACTTCTGGACGACTTCATCTTCCTCCAGAGGGAATTCTAGCAGGCAGTATAGATATCATAGCATAGGAAGATCTTGGTCCCCTGAGGGATTGAGCAAATTTGAGGCTGAGCGTCAGTCTTCTCGAGGGCTGGTCTGTTTCTAGTTCAACTCTACTCTCAAGCTGCAACATTTTAGGGATCTCAAAGGAAAGCTATGCGTGTGTGCTGGGAACCTGGACTCCTACCTTTGTCCCCTACTTTTGTCATTCTTTCCACCCCTAAATGATTGCTGAAAATACTGTTCAGCTTCTCAACTGCAGCATTCAGCCCAGTTTCTTAGCCTCCAAGTCACTGCTTGCTAATGAGCAAACAGTTCCAGTGGAAAAGTAGTGTCAAATATAATCTCTCAGCTTCCAGATTTTGGCCCTTCAATTTCTGGCTGCTTTGATAGTCTTCAATGACTTGAAACAGATTTTTAAAATATTATCCCCCAGCTTTTCTAGTTGTTTTTGCAAGAGGCTTGGTCTGTAGTTAGCTAATCTGTCTTTATCAAAAGCAGAAATCTGACCTTGGAGTAAATCACTGAACTT